TGACCCTGCTTCGGCAGGAGGGTTGGACTAGATGACCCCCAGAGGTCCCTTCCAACCCCTACTATTCTGTGATTCTGTGATTCTGTAATATTAAGGTGACTACCTTTAATGAGATGCATGTGTGGACTGCACTGAAGCCAAATCCTGTTTGTATGAGGATTACTGTAAAAGTACACATACAGGAAAGGAAAAACTGCTCTGAATTTACCAACTTCCATTTAAACAACCCAGACACTTACCGAGCAAGTATCACTACTAGGCTGGGAAAGCCACCACATGATCTCCAAGGCCCACCTCACCTACTTTTGAATATATCCAATGTAGCACTCCACATTTGAGCTAGTGACCCTGAGTTTCCTTTACACTCAATAGAAGAACGCTCAGAGTGCAGTGTATTATTTCACCTATTTGAAATACCTGCCTTGTGATGAAACGAATGATGCCCCAGAAGAACCTGCTTCTCTTCACTGGCCATCCAATTTGCCACTGCAGCATCAGTAAGAAACTGAGTTCTAGAGCTGCCCAAGCGCAGATGCGCCTCCGAACGTCCCCCTTTGCTCTCTGCATGGAAGATGACAATGCTGGAAATGTCTAAAAGCAACCCCTAGGCTTCTCTCTACATTAGGAGGAAGGAGATTTCAGCCTAAAAGGCAAGGAATAATTTAGTGAAGTACAGAGCTAGATCCTGGACAGGGGAGGTGATTTTCTCTATCCTCAGCTGCTAAGAAAGCAAAGGGCTGAGCAACATGAAAAGCACAGAGAAACTAAAAGACAAAGGGTGCAATAAACATGCTAAAAGCCGTGTAAGCAGTACCTCTGTACAGTGACACTGACGACAGAGTGAGCTGAGGAAAATGTCTTTTTCCAAGCTGACCTCTCTCTGGTCTGCTAAACAGTAAATGGCATACCTGGAATTTCTGCGTAACGTTATTACTGGATTTCATTGCTGCAGGAGACTGTAAAGCTTTTCCCATTCCACAGTGACCTTGTTGACACCAAATGGTGACAGAACAGGGTTCTTCACGTATACAACTTTCCTACACGTCTTGCTATTACTGCTCAAATTTAACCACCATTTATCCTTCTGTGCCCTACAAATCCTGCAGGCAGCTGAAGGTGCATTCAAAGGAAGCAACCCTGATAGTTTACTGGTTCCTCTGCTCTGTTCATAATTACCACCCTGTAACAGGTATCTAAAAGACACGACAAGTCTGTCAATGAATGTTATTTCCTTTGTGTATGTGATGCAGCTGAAGATTTCAGGCATCCTCTTTTAATTACGCAGTAAAATGTGTGGCACCAGGTATTGCATGAGAAGAAAAGAAACATTCTGTAACACATATTTTTTGTCTCAGGATACTTCTGGTGTGTTCCAAGGAGGAGTGAGACTGGAGAAGTTACCACTCTTTTTGACCCTTAAAGCAAGACAATTTTCAGTGGGCTGTTATGCCTGGAAAGACAGAATCCTCTACCCTTTCAGCAAGGTAATGGGGGCCATCAAAATGTAGTAAGAGTTTCACCTGCCTCCTCAGAGAAGGTTACCAAGTGAACAGCATTTTGTAGGGCTGGCTCTGTGGATCAGAGCATGGGCCACAGGTTTCCCTGCTTAGAGAAGGACCACAGACAAGGAGCTTTTAAGAAAAGTTTTTGCACATAGATTCACTCTTTTGTGGCTTACACTGCCTCACCATCTTCTGCAGGCGAGGCAAAAGCACCGCAAATGACAAAGCCTGTACGAAAGACGAGAAACCGTCCCTGGGGATGTATGGCAGGGAAGCCCTGTCTGTCAAATCCCCCAGTCCGACCCCAGCACAGGGGATGGAGGGGCTGACTCCCACCTCCTTCCCACTGCATCCTGTGAGCGCGGGGCTTCTTGTTCCCAGCACAGAGACTATCCCAAGCTGAGTGACAGAAGGAACTATTTGTTTCATCAATGCACACTTCATTTCCCCTTTCTGAATCACAGTTCAAGTCCCTTTTAGACGTACCCTTGATATCAGCACAGTAGTCTAACTACAGACAGTCCTAACTTTAAAACAAACTACATCAATACTGTATAATGGATAGGATTCAGTTTACATGCCAGATACATATGCAAGTATGTATGCACTTTGCAAAAAAAGCACTGGAAGTTAATTAGTTTTTAAACTTATAGGCATATATTTCAAATTTTCTTTCTTTTTTTTTTTCTTAGGAGCTTGTTGCTTTTCAGTGCAGCAGTACCATACGCTACTGTGTTAACAGTATCAGACTACTTGGATGTGTCCAGAATGCTCTGATAAGGCTCCAGTGTTGAACGCGTCCTGAGGGCTCCCTCCTCCTGCCAAATCCTAGGGGAGACAGGGGTGCCTCAGCTCCTCAGAGGATCTGTTGTCCTATCGTGCTTTGCAGTAGGGAGACAGACTGGAATTGCAGGTTAGTCCTTCAGTTCACTCGATAAAAGTCATCTCTATGCATAAGTCCTGTGCACCACCTAAGGTCCTCTTTTAGACCTGAAATTAGGATGTAAAACGGATATAAATGGTGCAGAGATCTGACTTTGGTTGCCTGCAGAAGGGTGAATTTCACCTACTAGGAACAGCTACAGCCAGGTTTCTGAATCTGCATGAAAGTGCTGAGAATTCGCACCGTTTACTGGCTTGGCTGGGGAATGAAGATGCTTAGAGGAAATGTTTGACATTTTTGCAGGAATTTGGCTTATTTTGTACTAGAGAACAGATACGCTACACCTGAATTCCTAAACTTATTATACTGGCATCAGAGTAACTAGAAACCACAAAATGTAGCATGGAAAAAAAAAGGGGAACATAGACTATGTATAGATATATTTACATCTACATACATCTACATACAGAAGCTTCTGTTCACTGGAAATCCTATAAGCCACTGCCTGCAATAGTATCCATCCTAAGGGAATTCTAGAGATGATTCTTAAGAGACTGAGGAGATGGGGTTGTGAGGTGAGCCCATCTGTGTCAGCACCTTATCCAGCCATTGCAATGGTCCATGCAGGTGGATCTCAATCCAGCAGGGCGTGCTTGTAACATCCTGGCGATGATACTCTGCTCCCCAGCCCTATAAAAGCATCAAAGGACCGAAAAGTGAGGGTTTTTAAAAAAAACAGAAACAACATTAAATCACAACTCCAGCGCTGACAGTCTAACACAGCTACAGGGAGTCCATCACCCAAGCTCCCAAGATTTAATGCTCTGTCCTAGGGGTAATTTTCTCTAGAAACCTTGCTCCTTTTTAACATCATTGCTATCATAGTTATCGGGGACTCTATACTACTAAATTAAAACTGCTCAGTCGCACTTCCAGGCGCTGAGACCAACTGGCATGGAAAGCCCTGTTTTTGAGCTTGGCTGCCTGCAAACAGCCCACAGGGAATGGTCCCCGCTGTTGGCACCCCAGAGACGTGCCCAGGAAAGCCTGCCAGGCTCCTGTCTGGTGCAGACGAAAAGCAGGCCAGGCCCTGTCATAACACTTTAACAGGAACTAGGAATGATCCTGGGCACAGCCTCATTTGTCGGTAGAGATGCATCTTACGAGTCTGAGACTCTAGAAGTTCTAGGTATTTACCCGAACTCTGGAAACTTCCAATAAGGTTCCTATGTACCATACCTAACCTATGTATAGCTATTTTCCATAGGTTTTCTATCACTGAACACGTCCTCTCTTCTCAGGGGAGTTCCTGGCTGTCTGCTGGGGGAAGTCCTGCAGTAATTTCTCCAGCTCTTTTGGGGAGGTAAGGGATTTGGAGCATCTGACAGAAGATGGGGATGCAGTGCTGGCAGGGAGGAAAGAGAATCAGAAGTCCCCGTGGCTGAAGTGGGCACAGTGTCTGCTTGTCAGGCGGGCAGCCTGATTTCACAGCAACACAAGACACCCCAGTCACAGCCCAAAGTCTCGCAGTTCACCGTCTGTCTCACCGCCAGAACTGCACTTGGCTTTCCACAGGGCAATGTGCAAAACGCGGTCCCGCTGTAGGATGAGGCTCTTCATCTGTGGGCCGCTACTCAGAGAAGCTGAGCCTTACTGCTAGTCAGGAGGGGTGATATTCTTGTCGTGAGAAAAGGATGTGGAGGTATATTAAGATTGACGCCTGCCAAAGGTACCTAAGTTGCAGAGTGCTGAACAGCTCAGACAACTGAGGCTGCCAGAACCCACTTCTCTAGACGATCAGCTGCAAAACTAGGATCAACACCAAAACCAGACGCCATAATAAGTGGTCTGGATAAAATCCATTTCTACTTAATGAAGGGGAAGAAAGCAGAATAGTAAGACATGGACCCACCAAAGCCCAAAGAATACTTTAATGAGGCAGCATTTTTCTGACGTGCAGAGCATTTATCAGGCTAGGAAGGGCCTGTGTTCACAGGCACCTCAGATTTACGTTCTGGGAACATTTGCATAAAATGCCACTCTCTAAATCAGTACAGTCAGGCTTCTGAGTTCGTGAAGCCTTAAGCACTCAGTCGCAGTGAAGATACATGGCCAGAAGGCCAAGTGTCAGAGGAGTGGGTGCACCTTTGCTGACTGGCAGGAGGCAGAATCCAGAGGAGCAGGAATTGCGGGTTACTCTGTCCAGTTCTGGGCTCCCCCAGCTCAAGAAAGATGAAGAGCTGCTGGAGAGTGTCCAGCGGAGGGCTACGAGGATGGTGAGGGGACTGGAGCATCTCTCCTACGAGGAGAGGCTGAGGGAGCTGGGCTTGTTCAGCCTGGAGAAAAGAAGGCTGCGAGGGGACCTTATAAATGCCTACAAATATCTCAAGGGTGGGTGTCAGGAGGATGGGGCCAAGCTCTTTTCAGTGGTGTCCAGTGACCAGACAAGGGGCAATGGGCACAAACTGCCTGCTTCGGCAGGGGGGTTGGACTAGATGACCCACAGAGGTCCCTTCCAACCCCTACCATTCTGTGATTCTGTGATTCTGTTGATGAGGGGGGTCTGGCAGCAGGTGCTGGCGACCGGCCATCCCCCTCTACGGCCAGCTCCCAGGCACTCACAGCACCGTCGGCTCCAGCTCTGGCCGATCTCCCAGTGGGGTCACGCCAGGAGGGCAGGGCCCCTCGGCCTCCCGCACATTGCCCTGGGGTCACAGGTAGCCTCCTTCATCCCCAGGGATGCAATGAACCCGCAGGCGGGGCTCTCTTAACGAGGGAACAAAACGAGAAGAACTCGCACAGCTGTGGTGGCACTGTGCGCAGATGGTGGGACGAAGATACCAATGCCACCACGGGGAGACCAGAAACGCGCCTTCTGGCACAGGGGATATCGGCCGAGGGGTCCTGCTGCTCCTGCCAGCCCTTCCCAACTCCTGCAGGCAAAAGCTCTCTCCAGCCCAGGCTCCAGCCATGTCCCAGGGCGCTGAGCTGCCTCGTGCTGGGGAGCAGGGCCAAGTCTGCTGAGTCGTCCCTTGAGCCCCAAGACCCGGGGAAATGTGGGAGGGAGGACACTGGGTTCAGACCTCGGCTTGGAGAAACTCTTTGTCCCTCCTCTTTGTGCTTCAGCTGCCTCACGTGTGGAGAGGCGACAACAGCCATCCTGCTTTGGTTATCAGCAGTGCTAAGCAGATGGAAACTGCTGTCTGCTCTCGCTGACAATACACTCGCATCTGCCTGAGGGCTGAGCTCCTCCCAGCTGCTCATGGGTACATGAAGCGATTCAGAGGGGACAGGACCTTCACCTCCCTCTGTGCCGTGTCCTGCCTCCAGAGGACGATACAGTCCTGGCAAGGTTCTCATGTCTTGTTTCCTACCCATCCCTGCCTCCCAGGTGACAGCTCAAGCATTGGTGGGGAAGGAGGCAGGGTCTCCAGCCCTTTGGCTCTGCTTGCCCTGTGGGCTGTAGGCGACCAGCAGCATCCGGTCATAAATCAGGGGAGAAACCACAGGACTGCCCTGCACCTGGGGACTCTTGGTGTGTGGCTCTGACAGACAACATGCTCTTCTGTGCACAGACAACATGCTCTTCTGTGCACTGCAAACCCAACACCCAGGTGCATTCCTGTCCCCAGACAACACACCAGGGCTCACACCAGGGGAGAGAAAGAATGTGCGAAGACTGAGTACAGGAAAGGATTTTCACAGGCCAGGAAGAAAGAACCTAGATGAGATTTGCATAGCTATTTTCCAAAGGTCATGGGAAAGGGTTCAGAATAACTCCTTGCACTGGTCTTCTGGTGCCCGATGCACTATAGTGGCTGCTATTGTTTCAGCAAAGCAAGGCGATAATATGGCAGCAGCGCTATTTAGTGCATCAACACCACCATTTCTGCTGCCGTGCTGGGCATGGAGGCAGATAACACATCAAAGAGACTGCCCCTGAGTTGCTGAGATAATGAAAATATTGCGTAACTGGCCAAACTGCCTTTATAAACAACATGCCCATTCATGTCTGCCATTAAAGAAAATGCTGTTTGTTGGGTTTCTTGCTTTCTTTTTTTCCCCTAATGCTTGCGTGTGAACAAGATGTCAGTTCCTTCCCAAGAAGAAAGCAACAGTATGGTCATGGGCAGAGAGATTTTGGCTTGGACTCTTGGGAAAAGTTATGGGACACTCTTAATGCTCTCAGAGAGTTAAGGATATGGGTCCCCAAGGATGGCTGGGAAGAGTCAGAACCAGAAAGTTGCATGGGCCTGACTCCTCTGCTTTGCAGAACACAGGGGAACTGGACTCGAGCCTCAAGCAGTTTTGTAGTATCTTAGATATGAATTAAATCAGCTTGATTCAGTCACTTGTACAGAACTAAATCTGCAAGACAAAGAGACATACTCAAGCCACTCCTGCTGGTACCTAGCAGGACCAACTTGCTTCTAAATGTGCAACATCTCTAGTTTGCAGGCTGAACATTGCTGCCAGCTCTCCCCAGCAGCACCGTAGGAAGTCAGTCTAGAGCATCTGTACACAGTCTTGAAACACTCACCATTCTCTGGGGTTTAGATGCTAGATAGGCACCTAAGTAAATCCTAAGCGCCAGAAGGAGTCAAGAGATCTCATTCTGTGAGAAGGCCATTCAGAAGATTTAAAAAACTCCTACAAAGACTGACACCATCACACGCAGAGCAGTCAGACTGCGAAGTTCAGATATGAAAGACATGGAAACAGTAGTGGCTTTGGCAGTCCCCTGTCTCCTCCAAGTAACAGGGGTAAGGTCAGATGTTCTTTTGGGTTTTGTATTCTGCTTGTAAGAAGCCCTCCTGGTAGTGCGGCTGGCCAAAGTGAATGCCATCAGAAATTAAGACAATCTCTTGACAGGGATCAGACAGGTGGCAAAAAACAATTCTCAGCAAGCTCAGTGGGGGCTGAAGGAGGACCCAACGTTTCTTGACTGAGACCAGTCTACAGTAATGGTGAGACTGTAAATTAGTCTAGAGACATAAGGACATTTTTTTCAGATCTATGGCTCTACCAAGGTCCCAGTAACAACAGGAGAGATCACAACTGCCTAAGATATGTGCTACAACATTTACATGTTGCTAAGCCCCTCGAAACTGAGCTCTTCATGCAATCCATGGGAGAACACCACTATTCAATCTCTGATTATTTTCCACAAAAAGCCTATGGAATACCTAATTTTTGGAATCTAAGAAATTTCCAGGTTGACCGCAAGAACTACAGATTTTAAGCACCTAGAAGTTTAAGGCAATACTGGAAAATACACAATCATCTCAATCACTGTTTGCAAGTTCGATGTCTAAATCCCCACTTGGGCAGGATTTGATGGGGTCTAGTTTTGCACCAAAGCTAGCAATCGATGGGATTTGCCTTTCCAGAAAAGCAAGAGAAACAGAATCCTTACTTTAACAAAGCTCATTCGAATCGTACACATCTTGGTCAGCTCATACACCACTTCGAAACCATGATTGACTGACTGGGCGAGCAGCTGGGCGAAGAGCTGATTGTTGAAGATCTTGAGGCTGCAGCCACTGGGGATCTTGCAGACAGTGGCTGGGTGGAAACCATGCTGATAGTTACAGTTGCGGCTTTGCACAAAAATACTGCTGTCACTGACACATTCAGCATACACTTCCCCACCAACGTAGTAAAGATGAACACCTTGAAAAAGAAAAAATGACGGGTATCATTTCTCCGTTGTTCACAACACACTTTTTATCGGTAATTCTTCAACTATTTAACTTGTGTGGGCATACAAGCCCAGGATCATTCCAGGCACTCAGTGCCTATACACTGCCTTTTAAAAGACAGCAAACTTTGTGTAGATCTGTACAATGGACCCACCAACATTACGAGGAAATTGTCATAAACGCTATTTACAGGTACCTGGCTAGGAGAAAAAAGTCTTGGCATGTGATGTTCTGCCTTGTTTCTCAGTGAAGGTTGGTTTACTTATTTAACCCAACAGCATAGTACTTAATGATACACACACGCACACACACATGAATGTCAAACATATGTCAACCCTTTACAAAGCATGGATCAAAACCACCAAAGAACTGACAAATCTGTTACGCATTACACATCTAAATCAATTTTCACTGTTGAGCACATGCACGCTGACCGAGACCCACTTCACTGCACGCTATTTTTTTACTACAGGATCCCATCTCATGCAGTTCAAACACAGCATGGTGTGTACTTAAACTAGCTTTTCTGTATTTTTCTTTATCCACCACATCAGAACCATGTATTTGCATTTACATGACGTGACTTACTCATCAGATCCTGTTCAGAGTGACCTTTAGCAAGAAAATGACTGATTTCCTTCTGGACTTTTCAGTGCCTGAGTGACTTACCAACACTAACTCTCCAATTTTTACCACGCCTTGGGGAAATGAAGATGGAAGCACGTCTATCCATTCAAACGCTGTGGTGGCCCCAGGATGTCTGCTTGCATGAAAATATACCTACATTGGTGGGAGAATTTATCTTAGCCCAATCCAGCAGCCCTAAAGTTAGGGATCTTGTGTAAGCTAATGGTGTAGATGCCTTCCCTAGTTGAGAGATGATGAGAGGCACCGTGACCAGACGATTCATTCACTCCATCCGCTACAGAGTGCAGGCTCACAGCCAGCTTAAGCTGATGGAAGTCTGTGCAGGTGCTGAAAAGGCTCCTTTGCTCCCTGCCTCTGCTGCTTCTTCCCACACCTCCTTTCATGCCAGCAGCAACGGCTGGGGACTGAGCAGCCATCCAGACTGGGGAACTGAATCAGCTAATAAACTTCAAACCAAACCAAAGAAGATTTATTTGCAGTGAGACCATCAGTGCAAGCGTCGCGATGGGGACCCAGACTGCTTAAACGTGAGCATGAAACCACACCCTGAAGGGGGATGAAGCATTCTGTGAACATGCTTAGACATTCACCTTTCCCATGGCTAGATTAGGTGAGATGAACCCCTCCCATGGCCAAGAGAGGTGGAAGAACTCAGTTCTTTGTTCTCATAAAAACTACTTCCAAATAAAAATAAAATCCTCCTCTCTATTCCCAGGTATGGCATTCAAAAACCTGCACATAAATGCATGTGTTCACAGAGTCTCAGTGGACTGCCTGCAAAGCTAGTGATAACTATGCTTTAATAATCCAGTTGTAATTAGTTTTATTCCTGTTGTCTTTCATACAAAAAAGACTGGTTACATATTCCCAGTCTGCTCATCATTCTGTGGTCACCACAGCAAGGGGCAGCAGCACATCCTTGGACAAAAACAGCCTCTAAACAGAAGTGGGAAAGGCTTGGGGAAAAGCAGGTTGAGTGGGAAAGAAATCTGGGAAAAATACGCTCTCCCATAGACTTCCAGAGTGACTCAGACGGAACCTTGAAGTCTGTCTTCAAGCCATCACTTGACTTTTACTTCTATGCACCCACGAGCTCTCCAATTAAATGTGAGTGGCAGGGGCGTGTGGCTCAGAGCACACGCTAGTTTTTCGCTGGGAACACAAGCAAGATGACAGCTCCGTAAGAGCAGTCGTTAGCTCCAGTCCAACCGCACCAGACATTATGGGGTGTTGTGTGTTGTGACTGCTATTACTTGACCTATGTCTCCTTCCCCTTCCCTGGAAGATGGATAAAAGGGAAGGACTGAAAACACAAAGGTCCTAGCTGACCTTGATGGAGTCCATGTAACCTTCCGAAATAAACAGAGTGAGAACACAGGGGAGGGAAAGAAGAATAAGGACATAAATGTCCATCACATTGCAAATCTTCAGGTGTGGCTACTGATTTAGGGTGACCACACTTCTGCATGCTAAGGTGAAAAATTTTAAAGGCTGGATTTTCAGAGCATATTGAGCAACGCAACTTCTGAAAAAAATGCACTGCTCAAACTGCGTACTACAGTACCAAAACCACCAAAGTCACTTCCGAAAGCAAAGCCTACAATTTGCTTTGTCCTTGTGGATTTATTAAAAGCAACAAATACAGCAGTAGTGAAATGTCAGTGTGTATTTCCATTCTCCTGGTATTCATTTACCAGAGACAAGCACCCGCAAGGAAGACAAGCAGCTGGATACACATTTGTTGAAGACCAAATCAAGGGTCCATATGTTTTAGCGGGACTTCATTGCTCTCTGCAGAAACTGGAAATTCAGCAGTCTCCAAGCATCCACATCTTTTCGACACTCTGATCAGAAGTCTCCTTTTTGTCCTTGAAGTCTGACTGCTGAAACAGGTCCAATTGCTAGTAGATGTTACATTGTGTTCTGGATTGTTTTTAGCTTTGATGTGGTATTTCCAGGAAACCGTTTCACGCTGATACACTACATGACAATTCAATCACATATCCTTATCCTACTGAGCTAATCTTGTTTACTCACTCTTTTTTCTCCCCTGTTAATATGTGACAATTGTATCCATTTCAGTAGCTTTCATCTGTTCAGCATGCCTTTGAACTACACACTTTTGGAGCTGCTCTGTGCTCTTCTGCAGGCCTGTACTGGTGCCACTTCTATTCCATTTGAACATGTATTTTTCAGATTTGCATAAACAGGTAAGAGCAGTAAAATTAAGGATCTCTGATATACTAAGCGCCTCTCTAGGCAACCTGCTCCCTTCCCTTGGGCAGATTCCTAGTGTAACACTTAAAAGGACTTTTAATCAATGAAGACAGATCTTCAGATTTGAATGGATGAGGACCATTAGCATTTACCTCATTTTCTTTCTGTTCTGTCTCTTCCTCATTTTGGGCAGAAAGTCACAGCATGTAACATCCTCAGATGACAGATTTGACTGGGATCTTTTGTTGTTCTTCTTTTAGAGCTAGGCTCAGCTTTGATCTACACCCCTGACAGCTTATGCTGATAGAGAAGATTTGCTTTATTTTCGGAGTGAGTTAGAACTAGATGTACAACTCATTTCCACCCCTCACAACAAACTACCATGACAGACACTTGCAGCAACACACTGGCTTCACACAGCACACCTGCAACACAAGTGCCTTCCCTTCCGGAGAAAAGTGCAAGAGCTAAGTACAACCTCTCCTGCGCTAGCCTTCAGATCCACCGTTGTTTGTCAAAACTATGTCACAGTTGTCTCAGAGCTTCCTCGTGTTCAGTCATTCAACACCAGACTATCAAGAGCCAATTAGAATACTGCTCTAGGCCTGGGAAATGAGGTGAGGTTGACAAGATAATAGGAGTGGAACAATTAGAGTTAATTAGCCCAGTGGGAAATCCATTCCCAGGCAGCTACTGGTGAGAGGCTGGGTTGGCAAGATAATGAGTCTAGACTGGATATACCAGAACAGGCAAACCTTCATCTGTAGAGAGAAATGGCCAGTACAGGGCTTCTGACTCACCACCACAAACAACAGTAAGTTCTGGGAGAATACCAGGCCCTACACAGAGCTAGTGAGCTGGGATGGAGTGTGTGCGGCCACGCATGTCCAGGCGCGGTCTCCTCATACTCATCACCAGGAGCGTATGACCCCATGTGCACAGGGTACGTGTAAAACAGAAGCGGAGAACACAAGGAGAGCTGCTGGAGGGAGAATCCAAGACTGAGTTTTACTGGTGAGAAGTTGACAAGACAGGGAATGAGAATGACAGGCAGGTGAAAGCTACAAAGGCAACTCTGGTAGAGTTCTTCAGCTAAATAACTCAACTGCTAAGTGTTTCATCCATCTCCCTTTGTTATTTGGTAGCAGGAGAACCAGCCCTGAGGCACCAGCAATTATCCTTTTAGTGGCATTTCAATGGCAATATTCCCAGTTGCCAGAAGCTCTAATAAATAAAATGAAAATACATACTGCTAAATTAGAACACACAACTATAAACAACATTCTTCTCTTTGCTGGCCAAGTAAATAGCTTTTGTAAGGAGCTGCTCTGCTGATTGTTACCCAGTCTGAAAAGAATCAGCTGCTTTTCTTCTATTTCAGCAGTAATCTCTGAGCTGTGGTTTTAAGACAAGCACGTCTGACAAATCAGCTGGGTTTGTTAATGCAATGCACAGTTCTTTCAAGCTCTGAATATTCCCAACGAGAAGAGATTTCCTCTTACCTTTTCCTATGTGTCTCCTGGTGTTTTCTATAGTAGAGTTGCGGTTTACATTTGAGAGCAGTCCCAGGCAGAACCTGTTTTTGTTATTTGAGGGATCTGTAAATCCATCTATAAGGATACTTCGAGAGGAAGCCTGGAAAGTCTCCCCGACCCGGTTGTTGAGTTCATAGTAGGCAACTGAGCACCAGTGCTGGGGTTCCTCATAGCAAACAGGCCGAAAGTCTGTAGGAAATAAAATTAATCAGCTGCTTGGGTCTCTGTAATAGTTTTTAAACAACCATTCTCTGTTTTCTTTCCTCCCTCCCACTCCCACTAGCTCTTCATCTAAACAGTCATTTATGTCACGCTTCAGCTCAACAGCAGCTTCTGTTTCTTCTTAATTTTATGACTGAAGCCCCAAACTTGCAAAGGGCTGGTACACCAGCTTCACTCTAAGCCGCTGAGGAGTCTCACTTGTTCTTAAAAATGGTAACTCCACTGCATTAGATTAGGCATATGCTGTCATTCCTTGCTGAACCAGGGCCCAACCTCTACACTGAAAATAGTAAGGGATACATCTGCTCTGCACACCAGCAGGAGTTAGGGATGACAGATGGGCTCAGAGCAAGTCAAAACTGAGCCAAGCCTTCAGCCTAATACCAAACTCTGAAGTTCAGAAGTAATCAATCCCTCCCGCTAATGTTTTGTGTGCTTTGGGACTTTCCACTTCCACGTGGGACCATAGGCAGAAATGTCAGCAAGGTCATTTCCACTGGATCTACCCCTGCCCATGTTTTCTAACTCTGAGACAGAGAAAGACTCAAAAATGTAACAAAACCTCTGAGCCTCATTTGTCGTACAGGAATTAGTGGGAAACTTTATCCTGCCTGCCCACCACAGGCATGTGAGTCCCCCTGCCCTCAGAGCACCTCTGTGCATAACCTCTAATAAATGTCCAACTAATATTCACTTGGGCAGTGATCAGGAATGGTAAACTGTGGTAAAGAGATTAAAGTATCTCGACAATTTATTTGAAAGTATTGGTGTCTGATAACTAGTTGTTATCTGGCCATTCTGTGTACCCATCTGCAATGAGCACTATCACCTTCATCTTCCTTCTGCTCCAGTTCTGTTTAGGACTACAATATGCTGGACTAGAAGAACAATGGTGATTTCTTTGCAAGAGCAGGAAGCCAAAGGAAAACCCAGCAGAGGAACTCCATTTCCCCTTGCTGCTCTGCAGCAGTCAGCTTTGAATGATGGAGGCATCACCTGCCACTACTAGTCTGGAGGTAGTGGAGACCATGCTGGAGAGGTCATGAAGTTGCTCTGAGGGGAGCAAGGAAGATCCCAGAGCCTTCTACACCGACCATCCATGCCTTGTCCCACCAAATCATTCTTATACGAGGACAAAGAGTATGGTCTTCTGTAAAAATTTCCTGTACTTCACTAAAACATGTCCTATTCTTTTCTAGCCAGCCAGTAATGTAGCATGAATACAAAGATGGCAGTAAGAAAGGTCTCAACCACAAGGCTTTAAAGTACTCGAAACACAGAACTGAAGGTGATAAAGAAATCAGTTCTGATATTGCTAGTGCTCTTGTGTGTTATATTGCCTCACCTTCCTTGATTTGATATCTTCGTCTTTATAACGCAGATAACAGTGTTTGCTTTCATTAACAGCTTTCTAACTGTAATAGTCCATAGATGCAAACCAGGTCTAAAATCTGTAACGTCATACTTAATTCACCAAATTCTTACATCAACCTATTCTGCTGGCTAATGGATGGGCCTAGTACACAGCCTTACTGCAAAACTGTCTGAAACCTGTTATTACAGGTGACTGAACCTTCTTGTTCAAATAACAATTTTTTTGCTTAACAGTTTTTCTTTGAAGAATAGAACAAATGATTATTTACTTTCAGCTTCTCCATCGGCAGATTTACCTCCATTGGACAAAGACAGCACTAGCTGACTTTCAGCTATTGCATCCATTGACCGCCCATTGTGGGTTCCTGGAGGTTCTCTTGCATGGTAAGGTGGGGGTGGCGTTTCCACTATTAGAAAGAAGGAAAGAAAGAAAAGAAAGAAAAGACAACTAAATCAGTATGTTGATAAATTCTCCCTGGCGTTTCCTGGTGAAAACACTTCTTCAGCATTGTTTAGCTAGAGAAGGGCTGGAAACAGAGCACAAATCTGAACCCGACCTCCCTTCAGTCTCCAGGTTAAGATCATCACAAGTTCAGTGAGCACAGGAAGGAAGGGCTGTCATGTTGGACATGCTGCGCTTGAAAGAGAGATGGACAGTCACAGCAGTGCCTCAGGCCTAGACCGGTGTCCAGTCAAGCTCTCTGCTAGCACCAGTTGTTACCCTAAGAAAGCAGCACAGTTTGATCGTTGTTCCAGACTTCGCTTACAAATTTAAAAACTCAAGAGGATGATTTAAGAGTATCCTAAAGAAGCTAACTTTAATTGATCCTCTGGGAGAAAGCTCTGTTTCTTCACAGGCTATAAAAAAATCCTATGGAAAGCCTTTACGCTCTAAAATCATACTTGGCAAAACTCCGTCCAGGTTTGTCCTTTTTACCTCTGTCCTACAAGGGAAGGCTGGCCCTCTTCCAGTTTGCTCAGTCTCCCAACAACGAGCAATGGATGTGATGCAAAAATATGGAGAAAAAGTATCAACTTACAACCTGTCCAGCTCCTGAGTTGTTCCATTTCTGGCACAGAAAGTTAGAAAACAGAAGGTGACTCTATAGTGGGGATTCTCAAGACAGACAGGAGGCTTTAGAAAGCCAAAGAAAAAGGGACATGATTTTCATATTAGAAAATGCTGACATTCGCTGCATAAGCACTAAAAGCTGTAGTTGTATTCATTTGAACAGAAACTCAGTGGGCTTATGTGTGAATCAGAGCCATATAAAAGTTTGCAGGACCACAGTCCCCTTCAAGAAGACCAGGGTTTAACTTGGTTCCAGGCTGAAATTTCCTCTTGTCTGGGGTCTGTTGGCTGGCCCTCAAAACAGAGCAACTTCACCCAGAGTGGATAAATGCGGCCTGTCTCATAAGACAACCATTGAATCTTCCAAGTAAGTATTGCACAGGAATGTTATTCTATTTAAGCATTGTTCAGAATTTAGGAATTTCATACACTATATGATATTTCTACCATACAGATGACATAACCCTCCAACAGAAAATGCAACAAGTTAGAATATTAAAACAAAATCAAGACAGAATGGAACAGAATGCAAGTCACAGAAAGGAATATAATGTGGTTATACAAGTATTTTTGATGTCTACACCTAAGCTAGTCACCATAAGCTCTCCATATATCCACTAAAGAAAAACAGGCACCTGCAGACACGGTGCACCTCAACCACTTTAGACACATACCTTAGGATGCAATGAATCTTGTTCTAAAAGTGCCTGTTTTCCTCCACTGATTAGAGAGAGTATAGACAACTGCACGAGATGCAGAAATTTGCATTGCTGACATCTGTATTTGGTCACACCAAACCCACTGAGGGTTCTTGGTGTAACTCTGGTTTGCTTTAGATAGTCTTCCATCCCTGACTGTTACACAGGCAAATTATGCTTATCAGCATGTCGTGTGACACGGAAGCTCAGGCTGAGCCACTTCCATTTTTAAGTAGCTTTGCAAGGTCCCAGGTTCAGTTAAATGCACGAGTCAGAGCCATTACATAGTTGGAATGGGTCTGATTTACCTGTCAGGACCAGCTCTACTGAATCTAGTTTGGTTACACAGAGGTGAAAGAAAAAAGACGGGAGAAGACAAACAAGTCCTACTACTTGCTGAAATGTTTTGATGTTGCTAAATGTGATTTAATCTGAAGTATAGATTTAGAGAAGAAATGAATGAAGGTCCATTCAATGAATGGAGAGCGAAGGAAAAACATCACACTGGAAAGTGTCCAGCTCAAAAAGAAGTTCAAATACTACAAATACCTTGTAAACATAAACACCTTTCTTGCACTTAAAATCAAAATATGGTGTATCATTAAGAACATGAATTTAAATGCTTTGTAATTGAGACATTAAAACATTAAGCTACAAGATTCTGATCTGAATTCATCTTATGAAAAAGTTGAGATCACTGAAACTATCTGAGAGTTACAACAAAGTGCAGAAGTGAATCTGAACCATACTTCGATATTAAAGCTATCTGCCAGCTGTGCTGCATGACAACTCCTTGGTATACTTAATTCTCAGGTAGTCAGAGCAGTACTAAGGAGTTAACAACGCAAACAATCTGAGCGACACAACCCTGCTGATCCCAGAACTGTGGAGCTGATTAAACACGTTCCAAAGTCATAGGAATTTGCCTGGTGGCTTCACCAAGTGTTGGGCCAGATTGTTAAACACCTTAATTTCCTGAAATTTATACAGTCAATGGGATAACCATACATAAAAAACATTTCTGGGTACCAATTTCCCCATTTTATCCTGTCTCTCTTGATGGAGTTTCTAAAGGTCCCTACCCTGACCATCCCTATTACAGGTGCCTAACTTAGGTGCTGCAAGTGCTCTTTTCCGTGGATTGTATCAGAAGCATGGATGGGCAGCTTTAGGCAGAAGGTGGCCTGGCACACCCGCTCCTCTCCTCAACTTTCCCCTTACACTAATCATGTAAGGAACTTCCAGGAGTGGCACAACTGCAACTCTTAGTCCCATGAGCATCCATCAGAAGGACTGGGAGACAATACTATGAGATAGTCACAAGAAATCAGTTTCCATATCCATCCAACATTTCAATCTGTAGCTACAGTCTGGGGGAAGCACACAGAACTGGCACCTGACCCCAGGCTCTGGCAAGTCCCTTGACCACCTCAGTCGGGATGTCTGAAAGCTCATTCGTACCAGTGAGCTGATAGGGACTTCCCGGTCCAGAAGAGCTTCCTGGTGAGTTGGGGTAGCTGATGCTGTTAGGCGACTGCGAGAACATGTGGCTGGGTGATGATGGAAAAGGGGTGCACGGAGGATGCTGGAAAGAATCAGGATAGGTGGCGTTGTGCGGCATCAGCGGCTCGCTGTGCAGAGAAGTGTTTCGAAACTTGGCGAGGAGGCTGAGGTGAGGGTTAAACTCGCTGTGTCTTGGAACGAGTACAGGAGGTAGGACTGAAAATAAAAACAAGAACAGAAAAAATCTGGTTAAAACTGCACTCTCGAACGTGTATCTCTTTTTAAGTTAAAAAGAGGTATATCCCATGCTACCAAAATATTGCTGTCTAAATACAAGTCACTAAAGGGCAACAAACCTCATCAAAAACCAGAATCAAAAGCTGATTCTTGGAATTTTTCTTTCCAGATTTGCAGCCAGGTGCAGCAATTCCATATGCAAAACACGGACTCATTCCTAACTTGAGCAAGGTACCATAAAACTCACAGGTATGGCATGCGCACACAGCCCCCTTACAGAAGTGCAAGTGGCACACTTCTCCCTGTCAAAATTACCTGTTCCTTCCTTCCTGAAAGAGTGAACGTGTCAGGAGATTGCTAAACATTATCACCAGGATTTGCCAAAACCACAGTCAACTTTAATAACAATTAATAGTGCTCCACAATGCACTGCATATTTTACCACCAGTGTTTTACAGATGGGCAAAAGGAAGCAGACCTGAAGCTAGACACCAGATTTAAAAGGCTTTCAGGTACTTGAAAATGCTGCCAGACAGACAGTGGGATCTTTAAAGGGAAATATAAATGGCAATTCAAATATTGCAGCAATATTAATTTAGCTCTTGCAATATAGTTAGAAAAGATCTAGCATGAAGAGGCAAATGTCAATGGTTGGTAGTTAAGACCTGAAAAAGACAGGTCGGAAAACTGAAATCCAAATTCATCCATGTAAAAAATTGTCTAACAGAAGGTATCACCTCTCTTCACTAACTCTGTTCACTTACATCTCTTACTGTCAGTGCTCTTAACAGCATTGCTCCATTGAGAAACCTGAAGTTGACCCAAATTATTTTGGATCCAGAGTGGGAGCGAGAGCAGAATCAGAATCAAAGCACTTTAGAAAACCCACCTGGTGACTTACCTATGAAGATGCAGCCCCTAGGCTGGAACACAAACAGGCTTGCTAAATGGTTCTGCATATGGGATTTCAACGTGAGGCTTTAACCGGGTCTCCCATCATTGCTGCGGGGAGAACAGCACCTACAACGGGCGACTCGTGCACCCCAAGATGTCTCTATTAGTTGCTAGCTCACATAGTGCCTAATTATCTTAGTGAAGGCCTTAAACACAGGCAGGGAGAATCCCCAGTTGCTAGTGTGCAGATCTGAAAGCCACCAGAGAAGATAAAGAGGCAATCTGAGTTATTGTGACAAGGATGAATTGTCCCAACACAGGGAACAATTCAGCAGGCTTGTATCGATTGACCTAGTGCCCAGAGCTCCTCTGGCCTAAAACCCAGCAGCACGTAATCTTTCAGTCCATACTCACTAGCTTACGGAAACAAATAGCAGTGTGCGCTCTTGGTTACAAATGCTGCCAGGAATATATGGTTTGAACGTGTTTTAACATATTGTTTGAGCCCAAAAGCTCTGTCTAGGTACGGCAAATTATTTTTAGGTAGGTTGGCTAACACCTTTTAATTACGGTGAATTCTCATTTATCCAGCATAATGAAAGACTAGAACAATTGCTATAAAGCAAATAATAAAGATAATGCAAAACATATGCATGAGAAGAGGCTGCAGAAACACCCTCCTTGGCGTGCACCCTCGGTGCACATCGATTGCTCAGAGAGCTGGGGCAGCCTGAGCAGGAGGAGGAGGACCAGTGCCTGGTACCGATGGCAGGTTTACAGCTTCTTGCTTGATACAGCACTACACCGCACCCAGGGCAGGGTTAAACCACGCTCCTGCCCACCCACTGGCATACAGCATTTGGGAATTTGCCAGTCACCCATGAGCTGAAAAACGGAGCCCTAAAAACATAGAAAAGATTGGACCGATGACAGGGGGTTCACTGCAGGAGTTCTTCTTACCTGCCTGGAAACACAGGCTCTGGGATACCTGTTGAGAGACCATATGTCGACCCTTCTCCGCTCCACTGCATGTCTAATTAGCTTCTGGCCAGCTCAAGGATGGTGCTCTGGAGACTACTTTCTTACCTTCTGCCTCTGCTATGCCCCTACCTGTGGGATGAAGATTTTTGCTGCCACCCTCTTTAAGACCTTTGGCAGAGAAAGGTATTTCTGCTTCTTTACCGCTTCTTTAGCTTTTTGGATTTCCTAGACTCCCCAGATAGGACTCATACAGGCAATACAGGTATTCACATCTGAGTTGTATTGCCCAGAACCCCATGGAACTCTTCGTAGCCAGTGGAGAGAAAAAAGACTCTTTTAGTGCTGAGTTCATCTGCTTTATACTGGGACAAGGCCAGTACCACCACTGCAGATGTGGTTTTGCTGAGCTGGACCCCTCCCATCCCATGCTCCTGCGAACAGCTCCAGGCTGCTGCTGCTTCTGGAGTTTTCCTCTGCTGCTCCATGAAACTGGTATGATGCTTGCCAGGTCTGCCGCTGCTCAGCCAGCTCTGACCAGCAGCCCTAGGGAACGGGGAACCGGTGATCCCTTTGTACCTAGCAGAGGTGCAGAGCAAGGGACAGCTGCACTACAGCAATGCCGTGCAGCGCTGGGAGCCTGGCACCTTGCTGCAGCTACCACCGCTGAGCAAGTGGCTTTCTTCAGCCCTGTGAGAACCCAGCGCAACCCCTTCTCTAAATGAGAGCTGAGAATCTGGATGTGTGAACAGAGAGCACTTGCCAGGGAAAGCCTTTGACTCGCCCTGAGTGAGTCAGCAAGAGGAATTTTCAAGCCTTGAACTTCTTCCCAGCTCTGACCAGGGCACTTTTAATTTCTGCTCTGCTGTGCAGTTTTTGCCAGCTCACTCAATCTTTCCAGTGACTGCTTTGTGGCTGCCTAGAGGGCTAAAGCCTCTGTGGTGGTGAGGAACTCAAGAGATTTTCTTGTTTGTGGCTAAAAATATTCCCCAGAGGGCCTTGTTCTCCTTGTTCTTTTGGTAACAGATGTCACTATCCAGGGCTGAACCACTCTGAAGGAAGTGTGACCAGAGGCACAAAACTGTGTGACTGAGTCCATTGGGACCTGCCTGTCCTCAAAATTCACCTGTGTTGTCTATGCTCAACGCGGTCCTCTTCTACCCGTTATTCTCCACCGAGAGCCAGGGGTGGATCCTTCCTTATATGCATGGCCAAGTGTTGATGATCTTTGTTCAACTGGAGACAAATACAGTCATGTCCCGAGTCCTGCCACTGCCTTTCCTGCACTAGGCTTTCTCCTGTTCCCTTTAGCTGCAACAGTTCTTCCTAGAAACCTGGCTGTGCCCAGAGCCTGGGACTTCAGGTGCTGGTTAAGAAAACTATCCGTCTCACAGTTTAATTCCAAGTACAACATCCACACTGCAATTTCTCACACATCAGCCCACCTTTGCAGACTTTACTACCTTTGGAGACCTACCCTCTAGTGAGATCCATCTGTTCCCTATGCCCCTGACCATTCACAAACACCAAACACATGGCCAGCAGTGAGATCATCAGGTGGTCTTCCAACTGGGAGGCTACCACACCTTAGTCCCACTTGGGCTTGACAAAAGCAATCAGTTAGTCTAAGTCAAAAGTTCATATAGGCTCCTACTGTCTACAGCAACAGTTCACACTACAATTTTCAGTATCTATACATTACATAAAAGAGCAACAGGTAAATGTTTAGGCGGCTTTTATGTTTTTCTGAAACTGCAGCTTCTCCTGACAACAAACCGTTCAGACTTCTGACCAGCAAAACAATGAACGGAGCAGCAGAGCCTAACCACCATACCCATCTCCTTTCGGTTAGGTGGCTTAACACCCCTCTGTAGTCGGATGCTGCACAAACAGAAGAAGTACTCGCTGCTTTTTTATAAATGGCAACTGCTGCTCAGCAGACACGAGAATAAATCTGCTGGGGACACCGGTAGCAGCAACAAAAGCTATGCATAACCTGTGCAATCTTGGTCAGCATAGACTAGAATGCGGCTGGGCAACCTGAGGACACAGCAGAGGCAATGAAACCCCTGAATCTCAGATCAGAGCCTAAAGCTGCTCGCTATTAACAAGAGGTCTAGGCATCTGCCAGGCCATTAAAGCGAGGGTGAGGCCCTCCCATCTTTGACTCAACTCATTCATTCTGAATAGAAGTTAACAGATCTGGTCACAGAGTGCTTGATTCAGTAAGACAGACTGCAGTGATGGAAAGCGAGCCCCAAGAGGATGGACATTTGTATGAAAATAATGCTGGCTTGTGGATTACACAGAAATGCACTGCTGACTAATTTCATGGATGGATTCTTTAGCTCCAAAAGATGAGACTCAGAGAATCCCACTTAAGCCTAAAATCACCAACAGCCAAGATGCAGAAGATTTCCTGTAGTAAAATGACAACTGCTGCTGAAACAGACCGGCACCTAGACCAATCATTCCCAGGCTTTTCTGTGGTGATCTCACTGCTACCGCTTTCTCCTCAAGCTCATTTCTTCTCTTACCTCACCACCCCCTCCATGCGGCACTGCCTTCTAACTGCTGCTGGCCTGGAGCTGCATTATTGCCACTTGCAGCAGTGTAAGTCACCCCTCCTGCTGCTGCCCCAGCACATCTGAGTAGCTCTACACCTTGCTACACCTCATTTTCAGCAGGGGAGCGACTCACTTCTGAGCTTCAGCTTCGAAGCTGTTCCCGTAAGAAGAGCAGTAGGGGTGAACAGAACAGCCCAAAAACAACTAAACAATTCCAGGTCCTGTGGAGAACTGACACAGCACAGCTTGTGTCCTCGCAGCTGCGCTCTCTTTCACCTCCAAAACAAGGTGGTCATGTCCAAAGTGCCCAAAGTCCCTCCTGCAGGCTAACCCCTGCACCCTGAGAACTGCCAGCCCATGCGAGTTCACGTGGGTCAAAGCCATCCCCAGGAGCACGCTACCAGTTCAGCAATGCTCAGACCAGCACCTCGGCCCCGTCTCCTGTACTGGCAGGGATGCAGCCAGCCTGCTGCACAGACAAATGACAGAGACATGTTCACAGCTGAAACCTTCTGAGGGTTCCTTCAGGGTCAGCACAACAGGCCTTGGCAGCCATTTGGCGGCATCTGTAAGCTGGCACTGAACAGATCAGAAGACCGGGGCTGAAAGCGGCACTGTGCAATGCTGTCAGCTGCTGCACTGAGGAGGAGACTCCATGAACTACACTGGAGCTACACCAGAAGAAATGAGAAGACACTGAAGACTGCAACCTTCAAAGAGAAAGATACACAAAATGGGGTATTTTATGAGCATCTTCTCTTAGATTCTTGAAGAGTTTATTTCAGCAAGGCAGGATATCCGCTCTTTCCACTGAAAACTGTCGACAGCATACACCAATCACTGCAGCTGTAAAATTTTAGTTGTGACAATGTTTACAGCAGTTCAGATACAACTTCAAAATGACAGCTCTGCTGCAGTGGACGGACTATCAGAAAAGCGAGCAGGCCCTTTTGTTTAACAAATGTTAACAAATGTCTTTCCCTTATTTCATCTGTGTGAAAAGAAACATCCCACAGTTCACTTATCTGATCCTAATGTCACCTCAGAGTAAAGTTCATGCCAGACAAAGAGTAATCACAGAATAATAAGTATACACTTACCAACCATATCCATTAGTAAATTAAATTACTGTGATTTTTGGCAGCAAGGGAGAGCTAGGTTAGACATTAGAAATCATTTTGAACTGTAAGGATAGGAAAGCAATAGATTCACTTGCCTGGGGAGGTTGCGGAGCCTCTGTCACATGGGATTTTTAGAGTTCATTAGAAAAATATCTGTCAGGAATGTACCTGGTAATTTGTTTTGGTTTGGGAGTGGGAGCAGAGGAGAAGAGGATGACTGCTCTGCCAGCCCTGCTTTCTAAGATCCCTGCAGAAGTCAACACTGAACACTTAAGATTTTTTAACAGATGTTTCATTGACACAAAGCCCAGTTGAACAGCCCTCCAGCAAGGTCATAAGTTTTCAGGGCTGACCAAGTCCAGTCTAAAGAGGACCATCAGTGGAAAAATTCAAAGTTTTATGGGAATTCGGGGGATTTATTTCACATAAACTATCCATTCAGGTAAGTAAATCCCACTGAAGGCAGACTGCCAGGCATTTTAGTAAGCATCAGCTGACCTGGTTTCCTATCCACAGCAAAATACGCCATCTTACTGCAACTCTAAAGGGAGAGCCAGTGATACACTGTTCCTGTGGATTACTGAGTCGATCGACGATTTTCAGACAATGAGGCATCAATCTAGCCAGGGTGGTCAGCCTGGGACGGTGCCCAGACTTCAGGCAGACGGACACCGGTCTGCGGGGGGGGGTGGGGTTCCGGTGGCAGCCCTCACCCACGCCCACGGAGAGGAGCTCGCTTTCAGCACCTTGGACAAGATCCGGGCACCCGCGGGGCTCCGGGGGGACGCCGAGCCCATGAGGGGGGACCCTCCTCACTCCCTCCTCACTCTCCCCTTACTCCCTGCTGGCTGCCAGCGTCGCGATGCCACTGGGCAGGGGAAGACCCAGGATCCTTCCACCAGGACAGGCTGGATCAATGGGCTGGGGTCAATCGTACGAGTTTCAACCAGGCGAAGTGTCGGGTCCTGCACGTGGGTCACAACCCCATGCAGTGCTACAGGCTTGGGGAGGAGTAGCTGGAAAGCTGCCCAGTGGAAAAGGACCGGGACTAGAGAACGAGTCTTATGAGGAGCGGCTGAGGGGACCGGGATCATTTAGTCTGGAGAAGAGGAGGCTGAGGGGAGACCTTATCGCTCTCTACAGCTACCTGAAAGGAGGTTGTAGTGAGGCGGGTGTTGGTCTCTTCTCCCAGGTAACTAGCGATAGGACGAGAGGCAATGGCCTTAAGTTGCACCAGGGGAGGTTCAGATTAGATATTAGGAAAAATTTCTTTACTGAAAGAGTGGTCAGGCATTGGAACAGGCTGCCCAGGGAAGCGGTGGAGTCCCCATCCCTGGAGGTGTTCAAAAAACATGTACATATGGCACTTCAGGAGATGGTTTAGCAGGCATGGTGGTGTTGGGTTGATGGTTGGACTTGATGATCTTAGAGGTCTTTTCCAACCTTAATGATTCTATGATCAAATGGAGCCTGGCTTTTCAAATTTCAGCAGAAGCTGGTAGGATGCACCAAGACTAGACCTGTCAGTGCAAGAGCTAATAGAGACGTGAATCATTTTACAGATGATATAATTACCTGGGGTTTCCACCCGCCGGTAATGGTAGGGGTTAATGCACACTTCTTTCTGTTTTGAGCCGAATGGGAACTCACAACATTCCATTGGTTTCAACTCATGGTGAGACTGCAAATCAGGCCAGCGCCACACTCTGCAGTAGATGACGTGGGGAAGCCCTTTGCGGTGAGACACCTGCAGCCGCCCATCCAAGGAACGTGGAATCGTGACACATTTACTGGGCTGACCCGGGCAGCTCAGAGCCCTCTCCAGTTCTTCCATGGCACCTTTTTTTTTCTTTAACTTCTTCACCAAGGAATCAACAGCTTTTTCTGCCCACTTTTCCTCTTCATCTCCTTGTTTCCAGCCCAGCAGTCTTTTCACTGCAGGGCTGGTGAAGGAGAACAAGGAACTGATAGGGGTGCTGGAGTGCATAAGAAGCAGAGATTACACACGAGCGTCAACGGAAGCACAAATCGCTCTCCTGCCTTGCAAGGCTTGCACGGAGTTTGCACAATCTTGAGATGGATGCTTCCTTCAAGGAAATGTTCTTCCAGACATACGTTTTTGTAGTCTTACGCACTGGTTACAAGTAGTCCAACTGGGTGGGTCTCAGAACTTTCCAAACATCAAGAAACTGCTGATGAAGCCTGGAATAACAAGACAATACATCATTAGGCTTCACACACTCCTTTCGTTGTTCCTTCAATAAAATCTTATGAAAGAGAAATTATTCAAAATGTGTATTTAATTTTCAATGGTTTTCTGTTTGGGTTTTTTCTGTTTATTTTGGGTCCAAGCCTCTCCTGCTCACTACCCTCCACAATAATTTTAGAGTTGGAGCCCAGAAAGCATTAAGTGTCCAGTCACTTCAATTTGTGTTTAGAGTTTAATGCACTAAGCAGATTGTGGCAGGGCTGGGGTTATATTTACTACAAAAGAAAATGTACCTTTTTTTATTTTTAATGCCAGTAGCTGTAGGCTCAGCTCAAGCATCTTCTACAAAATTAAATCTGTAATATCAAATTTTATGGAAGTAAGGAGGAGAATATTTTTCTGATTTCAACTCCCTGCCCCTCCAATCTCACTGGACTGTCAAGAGTTGTAAAATATTAACTGCAAAATTAATTTAAAATTCAACTACTCACAGATTTCATCCAGTGCCTCTGAAGATCTATCACTATTCTGTAAGCTTATTTACATTGTCTCATATGCAAGAGAAAACTTTGTTTGCTTAGCCAGTCTGTTTCACTCGCGCCAACAATTCAAAGATTTTTGGATGAAAATCACAGACTTTTGGACACGGTTTGTGCTGGATGGATCCTGATTTATTTCTGCTAGGAGCTGCTACATCTGACAAAGTCCAACAGAAAGAGTATAGTTCTTGAGGGTTTTTCGTGGGTTTTTTTTTCTTTTCTTTTTTTGTCTTTTTTTTAAATGTAGCTGGAACCAGTATAATTTTAGTGGAAAATGACATATTTCCACTAACTGGAACTCTGAGGAAAAATGTCCTTGAATGTGAAGCTATTTACTGCTTTAAATACACTTCATGGACATCCTGTGCATACCAAGTCCAAAGGCCCGAACTACACAGAGGGCACTTAAAGCAGGAGGTGCGTGCAGCTTCTAAATGGATGCCTCCAGAGAAGCAGCTCCATGGCTGCCCTACTCCACCCTTGTGGAGGACTTGGGTCCTTCTTGCCCCCCACCAGTAAAGGCCTGGACATAGTCCTTGGCACTACTTATATGCAGCCACTGAAGAGACAGAGAGATACTGCCCAGTGCTGCGAGCAGCAGAGCTTCACAAACTGTATTATTCTGCAGTTTCCTTAAATGCACAGCTCCTGTAAGAGTTCAAAGGGCACCTGGGGACACCGGGTGCAGGCACAGGTAAAACACATTGAGACAGGAGGCCAAACCCAAAGACTGGTTCCTCGGCACAGGTATGTTCAGCACTGCACAGCTCTGGAGCATGCCGCAGGGTAAGCATGCATGGCCCAGGGCAGTAGAACCACTTAGAAAACGTGCAATGGTTGCTGAGGACCAATGACCACCTAGAGCTGTTCTCCTCCTAGCTCTTCTGTTTCGTTCTCATGCCCGTTCCTCTGTCCCACTGCATTACTCTTGAAGACATCCAGCACCCTGAGATGTGCAGATACATCCATACATAATGAGCTTTTTCCCTTCTTCCACAAGAGCAGTGAGGAGGGCAGAGGCTCAAATTCCCAAAAGCCTTCTTCCACAGAGCTAGGGAGATGGAAGCACTTGGCCCCACAGAAGGGATGGCATAAAAGTGACTCTCTGGCATGTCACAAGCCCCAGCAGCAGCTGCTGTTCCCCCAGGAGATTCATATTCCAAGCACCGGTGGACAGAAGGCTCCATGAAAATATGAACAGAGGGACTACAAAATTGGAATGAAGAGTAGGCACACCTTGCTTCACACACCCACCACAGCATTGATCTCTGGCTTATGCTATTTCTACATTATCAATCTACGTGTATGTCCAGTTGTCCTCAACTCTCAAGAGAGGCTCTTGAGAGAGCACGGCAGAAATCCCTTCACTCGCGCCATTCAGTGATCAATGATCGGTTCTACAGAATTGCTCAAACTTGTCTCACCACGCAAAGAGAAACGTCAGATTCCAGATATTTTCCCCTCTCTGTACTAGCAAAAATCCAATGACCTGGAGCACTTAGCTGGATAGTTACTAATGCCTCTTAGTCAAAACCGAAGTCTATTCCAAACACTTACAGGGTACATGTGAGAATGAAATAAGTTCAGAATGATTTATCACAGGAAAAAAACACTCCAGCTGCTTGTAAAACATAACGTGCATAAAATTTAGGCAAGCAGCCTCCAGACTTTGCAGGAGCAGGCTCAGGCTACAGAGCCCAGCGTGACCCCATCCAAGCATTCCGTGCAGTGGAGGTGTCTGTCCCTTGCTGCCCTGGTGAGAACCTGAGGAGGATCAACCAAACGCCACCGCACCGCTGTCACTGCTCGGTGGCACCAAACCCCATCCTCACATGAGAAAATGAAACAATGCTGGGCTCTCTGCGGATCAGCCCCGAAAGCAGCAACGGGAAGTGAGGAGAGCCTGAGATGAAAGCCCACAGGACCAGCAGCGATGTAGAAGTCTCTGCTCCAGGCTGAGAGGGAAAATGGCTCACACTTCTTATCGGAGGGGGTCTCCCGGCCATTAGCGTGTGTAAACAACTGCCCCTGATAAGTTAATGCAACATTACAATCATCAGATATGAAAACATACACATTCACGTAAAAGTATTGTCCTGAGATTTTCTTTTCCATTTTGACCAAGGTTTTAAATAAACACATTAATCTCGTTTGGTCAAATTAAATAACTCAACAGTGACATCAGTATGAGTCTGAGCACTATTGTTGCTAGTGGGAGAGTCGCCAAGACTATGTGTATAAAAGCAAAAGCCGTGCTTTGCAGACCATGTGATGTGGTCTCAGATAAGTACATTGCACAATTTCCTACACGCGCTCCCCCCCCCCATTTTCTTCTAAAATTTTTTTTCCCCTTGAATTCAACTGACATACAAAATATAAATGGTCTTAAAGAAACTAAACAGCTTTCAAATAATATTATTATCAGAACATTCTAGTTTAATGTTATTAAATTACATAATGCTGCAGATTATTCAGCAGCTTAAGCCATGTGTTGCTAGGCTTAGATACTCCATTATGAAATACCTAGGCAGACGCTCTGCTCCAGGGCTGTAATGACAGAGATGTCAATTCACAATTTAATTTTAACAGTCTTTCAGGACAGTAGTTGCTTAAGCTGTATACCTTTTGTAACAGGCAACTTGCCTACTCAACTAGAAACTTCCAGCACCAAAAACATTTCAAAACCACGTTTGATGCATTTTCTGTGCTGATGACCCATCGTGTTTCTGAACGCTCATCGCTTTAGCATGGCGGAGGGGAGGGAAGTGTTACAGTTTTGATCCATAAGACCACCAGACGTACCAAGCCCTGGGCCACACCATGATGGAAGTTCTGGCCTGGTTGCCTCTGCCTCTCTCAGTGACAATATGAGGTACTATCAGCAGTGCGAGTCAGGCATCGTTTAGGGTACATCCCTAACACGATTCCCTCCTCTGGGACTACAAGGAAGGCCTTGTCTGTCTGTCAGGTAAGTAACTGGTCAAGACCAAACTCGGTAATCCTCTATGCTGTAAATCTTTATTCCATTGCCGAGTTTAGCCTAAGACCTGAAGCTTGCTTTCGGGGAGAGACAGAAGACACGTGGCGTGTGAGCATGGACCCACCTGTTCGTTTCTGTGGTCTGCAGGAGCAGGAGACAGTGGGACTAG